TTTTGCTTTAATCTAAATTTTGGTCCAATCACTGTATTTCTGCATAAAATCTGCCACATGGTTTCTATTTCTTTTGAATATGAAATCACAAAGGATGAGTAAGATGCAGGGGTACACAGGACTGTATAGAGTAGGCCTCAGTCTTAGCAAAAAGGCAAGACAGAGACAAGAACTCCTGGTGTCAGGAGGCTGCATTTCTGTTGACTGATCCTTTCTAGGTCCTAGATGTAACAATTCTGTAATTCCATAGCCAACAGAGCCCAGAATAAATGTCACACTAATGAACTTGATCTTAGCTGTCCTATTTAACAGCTGTCCTGCTTGTCAGTGGCACTGACCTAGTTTGAGTAATTTGCACAAAACATCTTGGTAATCAAACTAACCTGATGTTTCACTTGGCTAAATCATTATTTTTGAAATATAACCATTCTGATTATATTACTGGGGTCATCAAATACTGCTGCAGCATCATGTTCCAATCCTGCTTGACTGCTCTTCCTTGAATTTTAACAAAAGCAGTGAACATATTCTTTACTTTCCCTGGGAGGCTTTGGAAAAAATAAGGAGGAAGGATACACACACACACACACACACACACACACACCATTACTGTCATAATAGGTATATACAATTATTAAAGAAATAATAAAAGAGTAACAAATATAATTAAACTATTTAGAAATATATTTTATTGATTATGCTATTACAGTTGTTCCACTTTTTCCTCCCCCTTATTCCCCTATGCCCTGTATCCCCCTCCCACCATCATTCCCCCAGCTGAGTTCATGTTTATGGATCACACATTTAAGTTCTTTGGCTTCTCTATTTCCCATACTATTATTAACCTTCCTCTGTCTATTTTGTGCCTACCATTTATGTACCTTGTCCCCCATTCTCCCCCCTCACACTCCCTACTGACAACCCTCCATGTGATCTCCATTTTCTGTGACTCTGTTCCTATACTAGTTGTTTGCTTAGTTTGTTTTTATTTCTGTGTGTTTTTTTTAGGTTTGATTGTTGACAGTTGCAAGTTTGTTGTCATTTTTCTGTTCTAATTTTTTATCTTTTTTTTAATTTGATAAGTCCTTCTCACATTTCATATAATAAGGGCTTGGTGATGATGAACTCCTTCAACATGACCTTATTTGGGAAGCACTTTCTCTGCCCCTCCATTCTAAATGATAACTTTGCTGGATAGAGTAATCTTGAATGTAGGTCCTTGCCTTTCATAGCTTCAAATACTTCTTTCTAGCCCCTTCTTGCCTGCATTGTTTCTTTTGAGAAATCAGCTGATGGTCTTATGGGAACTCCCTTGTAGATAACTGTCTCCAAGAGAAAAAACTCTTGCTGCTTTTAAGATTCTCTCTTTATCTTTAATCTTGGCTAATGTAATTATGATGTGCCTTGGTGTGAGCTTCCTTGGGTCGACCCCTTTTGGGTCTCTGAGCTTCCTGGACTTCCTGGAAGTCTATTTCCTTTGCCAGACTAGGGAAGTTCTCTTTCATTATGTTTTCAAATAGGATTTCAATTTCTTGGCCTTCCTCTTCTCCTCCTGGCACCCCTATGATTCGGATGTTTGAAAGTTTAAGGTTGTCTGGGAGGTTCCTACACCTCTCCTTGTTTTTTTTTTAATTCTTGTTTCTTCATTCTGTTCTGGTTAAATGTTTATTCCTTCCTTCTGCTCCAAAATGTTGATCTGAGTTCCAGTTTCCTTCCCTTTACTGTTGGTTCCCTGTACATTTTCCTTTATTTCACTTTTCATGCTCATCACTTTTTTCTGTATTTTGCAACTAAACCATTTCTGTGAGCGTCCTGGTTACCAGTGCTTTGAACTCTGCCTCTGATAGGTTGGCTATATCTTTTGTCACTTAGTTGGTTTTTTTTTTTTTTTTGGAGTTTTGATCTGTTCTTTCATTTGGGCCATATTTTTGTCTCAGTTCTCTTGTTATGTAGTAAGGGGCAGAGCCTTAGGTATTCGCTAGGGTGGGACAACCCGCTATTCTATGTTGTGGCACTGTATGTGGCGGAGGAGTCTGAGAGGGAACAATGCTTCTTGCTCAGCTTTCTGCTGGCTTTCAGTCACTTCCTCCTCTACCCATAAGCAAATTGGGCCCTTCTGGTGCTGATCTCTGGGTGCGTGGCTTTGTGTACATTCTAGGACCCTGTGGGTCTCTCCAACAAACTCTTCTGTAAGTCTGGGAGTTTCTTTTGCCTCCTCAACCCCCACAGATTATTTAAGTCAGAGGTTTTGAGGCTTTGTTTCCCAATGCTGGAATCCTGGGTTGTGTGGTCTATTTTGCTCCCCAGTAGTTCCTCCTGGTTTATCCACATGCAGATGTGGGACCACCTGCTCCAGCTGCCACTGCCTTGGCCTGTGCCATTTCCACCCCAGCTGCCCACCGCCATCCCCCTTCTGGTCTGGATGAATGTTTCTTCTTTAACTTCTTGGTTGTTTGACTTTCATACAGTTTGATTTTCTGGCAGCCCTTGTTATATTTTGTTTTTAAATTTGCTGTTGCCCTTCTTTTGGTTGTGTGAGAAGGCAAAATGTATTTATCTATGCTTTCATCTTGGCCACAAGTCCCATGTAATGAAACTTTATAATGTCCCAGCTATGCCCTACTTTACAATATCATCTTGTCTAGAAATATGTTCACTGGAAGAGAAGCATCATCATAAGCACAGAAGAACTGTAGTTATCTCCTCAATAATCTGACATTTCTAATTTGATGATGTATGGTTTCATGGTTAAGGAAAAAACAATTCTTCTCTTGATTGTTAATATCTACTGAACCCACTTATTTATTCTCGAACATTTTGTATAGTATATAGGTAAAAGCATGGGTCATTAGTGCTAATGGGGGAAAGAGTTTAAAGAAGAGTAAAAGGGAGAGAAGATGAGTTGGGAAAGTCATAAATTCAAGAGTGGATTCAAGCAGTAAATCTATATAGTGGAATACTCTTACTCTACCAATGGAAATGGACTAGCCATAGCACCAAAAGAACACATATTAATCTCACAAACATCAAGTTAATACATATAATTCCACCTGAATGATAGCCCAACAGGCAAAACCAATCTCTAGTATTAGAAATCAAAATAGATATGTCCTTTGAGGAAAACAGAGATAGAAAGAAGAAAGGGGTATCTATTGGGGAAGCTCCTTTTTCTTGATCCAGGTGTTGGCTTCCCAGTTGTGTTCTTTTTGTGATAACTCATTCAACTGTACAGTTATATGTGTATTCTCTGTACATATATAAAGTGTTAAAAAGGTTTTTTTTAATGGCTCTCTGGGCAAACTGGATAGCCCCATGCAAAAGGCTGAATTTTGATTCCCTATCTCATTCCATGTATAAAAATTAACTCAAAATGGATCAAATATCTAAATTCTCAACCTATAGCTCATATCTAAACACTTAATCTTTAGCTTAAAACTCTAAAACTCTTAGAAGGGAACATAAATGTAAATCCCCATGACCTTAGATTAGCTTTGATTTCTAAGGTACAAGCAACCACCACAGCAAAATTATAAAGTAGACTTACCAGACTTGAAAACTTTGTATGTCAGAGGACAAAAGTAAGAAAGTAAAAAGACAACCCACAGAATGGGGGGAAATATTTGTAAATCACATGTGTGATAAGGGTCTAGTATTTAGAATATATGAGAAACTCTTACAACCCAACAACAGAAAGATAAACAATCCAAATTAAAAAGGGCAAAGAATTTGAATAGGCATTTCTCTAAACAAGATATATAAATAGCCAATAATCACAGGAAATCTCAACATTATTAATCATCAGGAAGATGAAAATCAAATCCACAATGAGATATTGCTTCATACCAAGTAGGAAGACTACAATAAACAAATGCATTCATATCCATGGATAACCAGATAGCCAGTGCTGGTGAGGATATGAACAAATTATAACACTCATACATTACCACTGGGAATGTAAAATTGGGCAGCCACTTTGAAAAACAGCTTCTTAGTTCTCAACAAGTTAAACATTGAGTTGCCATTTGACCCAGCAATTGCACTCCTAAGTATATATCCAAAATAACTGAAAACATATCCAAACAAAAACTTGTATGTACATGTTCATAGCAGCATTATTAATAACAGCCAGAAAGTGGAAACAACCCAAATATCCATTAACTGATAAGTGGATAAGAGAAATTTAGTATATCAATACAGATATTTTTGGCCATAAAATAGAATGTAATACAGAAATTTGCCAAAATATGTATGCCAAGTAAATTAAGCCAGAAACAAAACACTGCATACTGTATGACTCCATTATTTATGATGTGCCCAGATAGGCAAACCTATAGAGACAGAAAGTAGATTAATGGTTTCCAGGATTTGGAAGGAGGGAATATGGGAAGTATGTATTAATAAGCATGGGGTTTCTTTTTGGGATAATAAAACTGGACAGTATTGATGGTTGTACAATCTTGTGAATGTACTAAAATCACTCAGTTATAAACTTCCACATGGTAAATTTTATGGTATATGAATTATGTCTTAATCAAAATGAATTTGATAAGTGAATTAATGATTTTCAATTTTTTCATAGTTGAGCTTCAAAGACCAGATTGTTTAGGGATGGTGACAGAAGTGGTTGGAGGAACCAGTACAGTATGATCCAGTGGATAATGAATATGGGTACTGCATTTCTATAGGGATAGATGAAAAATGCTTGTTAATCAAGATGCTTCCACTGTGAATGCCACTCCACTGGGCTAGGCACCACCTCTGAGGCTGTTCTGGATTCTGTCTTCCAGCTCATAAAGTAATTGGGAGGTGAGTTTCTTCTCCCAAACCTACTGGAGATGGGCTATTATACAGGGCAGAGTGCCTTGGACAGACAGAGCCTATGACTGATGGGACTGGGCTTTGCTGGGGAGAGAGAACTTAGCAGAAAGCCCAGCATGATGAAATCACCACCAATGAAAGGGCAGGAATGAGAAAACAACAAAGAAAGGCATAGTTTTTACCATTGTGTTTCTGTAGAAAACCAATGACCTTTTCCAGCACAGTGGTTTTGTCCATCTTCCGTGTGTTTCCAGGGAGCATGGAGCTAAGCTCTTTGATGAGAACATTGAACTGGTCTCGACGCTTCTTCTCAGACTTGTTTCGAGAAGCTCTGCAAACATAGAACACACATGTTACCGAAAAATTCTGCTTCATAAAAATTCTCTTATGAAATAGAGGTATTTTCTATCAGTGCATATTCTGTTGTGATCATCCAATCAAGACTCTTTCAGGGAAAGTAACATTTGCCATAGTTCAGAGCTAAATAAAGGAGACAGAAAGATGTTTTGCTAGACTCTTGGCCATAAAGAAAGACAGCATTAATAAGTAAGTTCTGACTCAGATGCAAAATTGTATAGATTAGTTGTTGCCAGATGGTGCCCACTCTGACTTCACAGAACTTTGACCTTCAGAGAACAAGCAACATACTGTTTAAAAGCTGCAGTCCAGAGGGTTTCTCTCAGATAGTCCTTCCTTAGCCTCAAACAATGTTCCCCAACTCAGAGCACCTAGCCTTTGGCACCAAGTCATGGAGGGTAGCCAGGTCCTGAGTGTTCAGCAGAGAACCAGTGCCACCCAGGGCATATATCCTAGTCACTGCCCTGGAGCTCATTATCCTGCCCAGGAGATGAAGCACATGCCACATGAAACCATCTGCAAGTCATGTGCAACCCAGGGCCAGTGTATCACACAAGCTGCTCATGGCTATCATGCTGATAAATAAAGAGTGGCTTTAACGATGGCAAAGAACCTTAAATGCATATTACCAAGTGGAAGAAGCCAATCAGATAAGGCTACATACTGCATGATTCCAACTGTATGACATTCTGGAAAAGAACATGGAGACAGTATAAAGATCAGTGGCTGTCAGGAGTTGAGGTAGTAATGGATGAATAGGCAGAGCACAGAGGATTCTTTAGGGCAGTGAAACTACTCTGAAGGGTAGTGTCATTATAGTGTCATTATGTGACACTATAATGATGGCAAACTGTCATTACACATATGTCCAAGCCCACAGAATGTACAACACCAAAGTGAACCTTCATATAAACCATGGACTTTGGGTGATTATGATGAGTCAGTCACTGTAAAGTTTATCAGTTATAGCAAATGTGTCACTTTTGTGGGTGGTGTCCATAATGGGGAGGCTGTGAATATGTAGGGACGGGGGTATATTGGAAATCTCTGTACCCTCCATTCTATATTTCTGTGAACCTAAAATTGCTCTAAAAAGTTAAGTTTATTAAAAAATTAGCACATAACACTGCATACCTACACAGAGATCCAAGTGCAGTTGTACAGGTGAGGGGAGAGGAGCTCTCTGGAGGCCCCTCTGAGAAACCGTTGGATCCCTGGAAACTTGAGGAAGAAGTCATGGCTAAAGGGACGCACAATGCAGGAAGCCTGCCCTCACCAAAGAAGTCTTGGAAGCAGGCCATTCCAGAGGCCTCAACCCTTAATTATACACCAGAGGCCTAGGGGCTGGCTCTCAGCTCCACAGGGCAGGTCCTTCATCAAGGTTTAGCTTATTCAAAGGTGATGTAGGTCTGGGAAAGCTGACCTACCCCTCCCCAATTCACCCAGGACAGAATGTTCTGGAAGTCAACTCACTGGGAGAGTGGGGACCATGCTTCAGGGCCTGTCAAACATAGTCAACCTACTGCTATGACACCCTGGGGCCTGGGGTCAAGGTGTCTGGGAAAGCTGATCACTTGTTGTTCTCATCAGAGGAATTCACCTTGCTTGGGGTAGGTGTCAAGATCTACAGATGTCAGTATCAGGTGAAGATTCTGCTTCCCCAAACAGCCCTTGGAAATATAGGGACACATAACAAATGCCCTTTCCTTGATGGCATGGTGGCCATAACAGCTCTGTTTGCCTCTGACTAATAACACACAACCTGTCTTTGTGTCAACACACTCACTTATAAGCCATCATGCTTATTATAGTTCAGTTTATGCCATTTTCTGATAATATTTGAGGCAATTCTTCAAAGTTCACGTAAAGTGGCCACCCATACCCACAGGTTTCTTCCTTTTTCTCACTTTCCTCTCATTATTGTCCTTGGGTTTTGGGGAGGACCTGAAATTCTTAAGGGGTTTGTACGAAGGCCTCATTCCTACCCGAGTACTGTCTTCATGGATGCTTTCCCACTCACACACTTACTGGAGGTATGGCAATAAGAGGCTGTTCATCCTTTTGCCAGTCCAGGATAAAAAGCATCATGTTCAAGCACATGGAGGAGAAGAAAGGAACCTTTTAACTTTCAGAGTAGTTGTCTATGCATTATAAATAATTTTTTGGCCTAGATTTTAAAGAGTGACATGCAACCTCAGCCAAAAAAAGCACTGTTCCTGTCCTACTTTGCCTATTATAAATTATTTGTGAGCTGACAATATCCAGCTCATTATTATTCTGTATTCTTCTTCAATGGCTGTAATGACAACAAACATGGCTCATATCATAATGACAGGAACACAAGCTTGTTTCCATCAGCTTCTGCCTAGGACACATGGTGGTGCCACTGGAAACTGTTACTATTAGCTGGATGCACAGCTCTGAGGCAGGAAGAAGAAAACAAACCTTGAGGGACTTTATTTCCAGTGAGGTCTGCTGAGTAGGCTCCAAGACCACCACTCCTAAGGCACTGGGGTGACAAGTTGAAAGACACTTCAGCAATCAGCCTTTGGGTTTATTTTTTCCAGTAAGGTATATTATTATATTTGATAAAATTTATCCATTTCAAGAGTATGGGTTGATGAATTTTGGTAACTGAAACCACGACCAAAACCCACATATAAAGCAGTTTCTTTAACCTTAAAATGTTTTCTCCTACTTCTTTGTTGGTGACCTCTCTTTGATGACAGCCATAGAAAACCACTGTTCTGCTATCATCCAGTTTTGCCTTTTTAAAAATTTCATATAAATGGAAGCAGAAAGTCCACTGCTTCAAAGCATAAAGCTTTTGAAATTTATCCATGTTGATATATATATATATATATATATATATATATATATATATATATATATATATATATATATAATGTTCTGTTATTTTTAAATGCCAACTAGTATGCCACTGGGATGTTTCCAGTTTGGGGTATTAAGAAAAAGTAATACTGTTCTGAATATCTATGTCCATGTCTTAGGCCTTCTCTTCTCTTGGGTAAATACATAGGTGTAAAATCACTGAATCATATGATACATGTATCTTTAACATTATCAGATACTGCCATCCTGCCACACAAAGGGGCTGTACTGTTTTTGCAATTCCACAAGCAATGAATGAGACTTCCAATTGTTCCACATTCTTATCAACACTTGGTATTGTCAGTCTTTTTTTTTGCTTAGCCATTGTAGTATTATCTTATTGTAGTTTTAATTTGCGTTTTTCTAATGACTAGTGATGTTGAACATCTTTTCCCATGCTTAATACCCTTTCATATATCTTCTTTTGTGAAGTGTCTATTCAAATTTCTGCCCATTTTCCATCGTGTTGTTTCTTCTGATTGAGTTTAAGAGAGACAGAAAGAGAGGGTGAGAAGAGGTTTGGGGAAAAGGGAAAGTGTGTGAGTATGTGCTTTAACTATACATTGATACAAACCTCACCTTTTGATTTTGAATGCAGGGTTCAAAGAATCCCAGGTTATTTTTCCTGGTGTGTTCCTTAAAGGACATTGGTTAAATGGATAACATTGCTGGGCACTTAAAATATAAAAGACACTATTTTAAGTGCTTTACATACATTGATTCCATTAGTTCTCTCAATGACCCTTTAAGTATGTGTGTTGTCATTCCCATTTCACAGAAGAAGCTGAGGCACTGAGAAGTGTGCAGTTTGCTGACATCACATGACTAGGAAGTGATGGAGCAGTCTGGCTAGAATGCCCATGCTGTGAAGCACTGCTTTCTTCCCCTTCATTCTGCAGCTCTCTTTAAAACCACTGTTACGTGACTATCAAACTAAGAGTGATGAATTCTGGCTGCTTAAGTTTATAGCACAGAAATTAAGTACACTGCAGAAAATGGCAGGCATGTTAACAAGACAACAATATTTGTGTTCAGGGAAGAATACTGCAGAAAATCAACTAGGACACCCACTATCTCAAGATTGCACTATTACATAAGGTACAATGTGATACAAGCTAGGTAAGAATCTTAAACAAATTGCCAAAAGATTTCATAAAGATCAACCATGTGAGGTAGTCAGGGATGCCTGAAGGGAGGGGCTGCACTCAAGCTGGCCTTGATAGGTGGATGCGCAGGAAGGACAGCCCTAATAATGCTGAGTGGTTGAGTTAGACAGGAAACTGGAGACATGTGGGAAAGTAAAGTGACAGGAGAGTGGGCAGGAAGAGTGAAGCTAAACACTAAGTGTCAGATCAGGAAATCTGGTCTCAGCTTTTGGATGTATCTGGAATAGCCTAGGAGAGAGGCTAGGGGAGGAAACTGGTTTGGACATTAGGAGATGGGGAAGAGGGATCCACATTAGGGACAAATGAGCAGAGACAAGAAAGAAAGGCAAGGATGGTTGGCAACAGTACCACATGTCCTGTAAGGCAGGGGCTCTGTTTCCCAGTCAGCACTAACCAAACTTGCTGTGAAGAGTTGTATGGAAGCTGATGGGTTCAGAGGCAAAGGAGTCTCAGCTTAATCTCATTTGTCTAGAAAAAGTAATACTGATGACATACACATTTAAAAGTTTTACTCAACATTAACATACAGTAAACATGACTTTTGCTTTGGGGCTCAGTTCTATAAACTTCAGCACATGTATAAATTCATGTAACCATCATCACAATCCAGAGACAAATCAGTTCTCACCAGAACTCCTTCATCTTTTCCACATCTGTAACTCCTGGCAACTCCAACTCTGCCCTCCATCACTATGCTCTCTTTTCTAGAATGTCAGATCAGCACAATCCTACAGCATCCAATCTTTTGAGTCTGGTTTCTTCTACCCAGGAGAATGCCTTTTAGATGCATCCAAGTTGGTGCACCTATCAATGCCTTGCCCTTTCTGTTACTGAGTAGTTTTCCATTGTATTGATGAACCATAGCTGGAGGAAATTTGGGGTGTTTCTTGTTTGCAGTGATTATGAATACAGCTGC